TTAATTCCTATAACAATGAGGAGTCACTTCAAAATTCTTATTTCTTCAGAGAACTAAATTATAATACATATACGTCCTAAAAAAAAACAAAAAGCTTCCAATATGCAGCATCATGAAAACCTTTCTTAATATTCAGAAATGAGAGATTAAATGCCTTAAAGTTATTGTGGCAATTACTGAATTCAATTTTCTTTGAGGAATGAGAGAACCATATTTTTTTTTTTTTTTTTTGTCAAAGAATTTTCTATTTTCTTGTGTATACCAATATAATTATGCTTTATTTTGAAGAAAAATATTTTCACTTCTTTTTAAATAATTTTTAGTTTTTAAATTTCAAATATTTATGTAGATAATCAAAGTATTGTAATTTATTATTAAAAAAAAAAAAAAAAAAAAAAATAACCTACATGAACAAAATTTTTCTTGTTTTCTTTAATGTTTTTCATTTAAATTTTCTCTACAAATCTGGCATCTTCATCTATTTTTTTTTTTTTTTTTATTCTCCTTTACAATTTCTGGTTGGAAAAATCCCCATGAAAGAAACCAGATATTTAAAAGCAAAATTACCTAATACATCCAAATAAAGTGAAGATTTTTCTCTTCAATAATTCTGTGATGCCTCATCTGTGATGAGGCCATTCTATTTTTATAAACTCTAATATGTAAAAAAAAAAAAAAAAAAACACAAATGTCATTCACAATTTCAAATGTATGCTGACTTGAAATTCTAATAAACTTTTCAATACATTTTTTGATATTTTTTTTCTGTTTATCCATTGATGGTCAGTATTTCTTTTAATTTTGATAAAAAAAAAAAAAGGCTCGAAGTAATTTTCCAATGGTTTGGTTAAATTATCTGCAGAAGTAATCTGGGATTTTTACCTGTACAATTAACCATAATGTTGCATGTAAAAAGAATTCCACTTTAAAATCATATTGAGTAAAGTAATGCATGTTACTAATGAAATTTTGTTATAGTAATTAAGGATCAGATTGTGTGACCCATAGTCACATTGTTTTATATTATGGAATGCTAAAAAATTATTTTTAACAAAGGCTTACATCCACATTATTTACATTATTCGGACTATTGTCCTCATCTTTGTTGCCATATTTATTACAACATTTCGGCTGTTGTATGCTCTGGCCTTCTTCAGGTGGTTGGAATGTCAAACTGAACCCTTTATTTCGCTCACTGGGGTAGACTGTTCTACTTGGACATTGGCAGAGTCGAGGAGGCTCAGGCTCAGGCGAATGAACTGAGATGGAAGGTGAAACAGACCTTGGAGAAGGCCAAGCCGCCCCGGTCTAACATAACAAAATTGGAGAGGCAGGCGATTGGATTCCTACAGAGGAACGAAAACATCATCATACTACTGGCTGACAAAGGCAATGTGACTAGTGATTGACAAATCAGATTATACAAGAAAACTGGAAGACCTCATTAACAATGGTAGCTACAGCAAAGTTTAAAAAAAAAAAAAAAGGATCCTACAATGAAAACGGAATGCAAACTGTCACAGATACTAATCAAGAACAAGGATCATTTTGCACCTAAGATGTATGGGCAGTTATCGCAGCATTACACCAAGCTACCTCCCTAAGATTCACAAAGATGGTATTCCGCTCAGGCCGATTGTTAGTTGCCAAGGCTCTTTGTGCCACCCTCTGAGTCACTTCCTTGTAAATATATAATTGATCAGAAAGTCTCCTTCATATGTCTGAAACTCCGCCCACTTCGTGGAAATAATCAAAGATGATCCCATCCTATCCAACCAGATCGTGAGCTTGGATGTAGTGAGTTTGTTCACCAAGGTACCCATGGAAGAGGCACTCTCAGTAGTCAGAGACAGATTGGCCTCTGACTCTTCACTAGAAGAACAGTATTCCAATAGATGATCTGATGGAGATGTTGACTTTCTGTACACAAACAACACACTTCAGAATGGGATCACACACATATCGACAGGATGAGGGCTTAGCAATGGGCTCACCATTATCACCAGCAATGGCGAATATATACATGGAATACTTTGACGAATTGGCATTAGAATCTATATCTCTAAAGCCAACTATATGGTTAAGGTATGTAGATGACACCTTCATACTCTGGCCACACCAGGAAGATGTTCAGGTTCTATTGGACCATGTGAACTCAATAAGACCTTTGATACAGTTCACAATGGAGAAAGAGAGTAACAACACACTCCCATTCCTGGATATTCTAATATCTCAAACAGGGCATGGGTTCAAGATATCCGTATACTGTAAACCAACATTCACCGGACAGTACCTCAATTTCAACTCCCACCATCCATACAGCATAAAGAAAGGGATCATCTGCTGCTTACAACACCGAGCAAAAGTCATAAGTGGCAACCCAGAGACATTAGATAAAGAATTGGTCAGTATAAGTAGTACCCTACAACGTAACAACTACCCTGGGTACATGGCAGCAGCCCCCAAAAACTGGGATAGGTGGGTAAAAGGGGAGGACAACAGTCTGCCTGCCTTATATGTAAGGGGTTATCAGAGAAAATACAAAGGATCTGCGGTCCATATAACATCAGGACAACTTTCAAAAGTTTGACGTCACTTCAGATATCTCTCTCGAGTAAGACCCCCCCCCATAGAGGAGAACATGACTAAAGACTGTGTGTACGCTATCCTGTGCAGCTGCAGAAAGAAATATAAAAGGGAGACGGGCTGTCCCCTTAAGGTAAGGCTTCAAGAACACCAGAAAGCTGTAACATGAGAGGAAGTGGAAAAATCAGGCATGGCTGATCACATATGGAGAGAGAAGGGAGATCACTGCCCTCTGTTGGATCAGGTTTAGATCATAGACAAAGAACACCATTGGAAAATTTGTAAACTTATGGAATCAGCATATATTCTAGGCCACAAAAATCTCCTATAGCTGACTAAGCATAGAAATTAATACAATATGGGAACCAGTAATAAGGAGTGCCAGAGAAAAGTGATAATAACAGGAAAAATTGCAATATGAGCACTGGTAAAAATGGTTGCTGAAGATATTAGGTTTATAATACCCAGAAATTCATACACAGATGTCCTCAAGGCACAGTGGATAAAGGCGTTAGTTAGATCCAGTGACAGGACCCAAAGAGTGTGAGTTCAATACCCAGCTAAGGCAGGGGGAGAACTTCCGAGAGGGAAATTAACAGGAGATAACTGATAACTGACATCCATTAGACATTGCACGTGGAACTAGAACAGTCTACTCCAGTGAGCGAAATAAAGGGTTCAGTTCGACATTCTAACCACCTGAAGCATAATAAATATAGTCGTAATAATGTACATAATACCTCATCTGAGAAATATAGACAGACTGCTTTCCATTTCTAACATTGATCTTGACAATCATTAGGATTTGATTTTCTTTCCAACTTATTTACATAGAAATATTGTTTGCTTTTGTGCAGAATCATTCATCATTTTTCTTTAAAAAAATTTTTTTTAACTTGTTAATGAAGTTCTATAAAATGACAACTAAAATTTTCAATTAGTTTATTGGTCAGAATGAAACGAATTTAATTATTTTTCTCTTAAGTCAGTTATTGTCAGTAAATATAGCTACCCTCTCCAAACACATTATTACACAAATAAATCCGTTCAGCTTAAACCAATGCTTCTGTTTTGTTTCTCCAAACCCCCCCCCCCGATATTTTTATCGTGGCCCATAAATCTTTTTCACACACATATACACACACACTAGATGGATGTATTATTTAATACCAGATGTCTGTCCTTGGCAGTAATTCCCTACCCAGATGTTATATTCACATTGTCAGCTGTTATCCCATTCCTATTATATTGGCCTTTACTTTCTGTGAATATATTATATCCATTCAATCTGCAGTAGTCTGAATCATTGAGTTTATCATTCATTTTTGCTTGTTTTGTGTCTCTAAAATTAATCTTTTGTAGTCTTTATTCAGTCATGAATATTGCTATAAGTAGATTAACAATTATAATCAAAATAATGTTATTAATAAATTTAGAAATTGACATACACCCCCCCCCCCGCCTAATAGTAAAAAAAAAAAAATCTTCCTAGTATTGTACTGAAATAAGGCCACTAAAATTAACTATCATGTTTAATTAATATTCACCACCCAAAAAGAATGGCTAAAGTGATAGAGGAGCAATCAAACTTGAAACCTCTCACCAGTATCACACACTTTTATATATAAAAAATGAAATACAGTTGTGATTATTGTTCCTTCTTGTGTGACTATATTAGTATATCATTAATGCAAAGGAGTTTTAACTTTAGTTTAATAATTTTTATAGTGATATCATCGATTGTTAAGATCTATCAAAAATAGTGGAAAACATCTCTTCAGATCCTGAAGGTTTTAAAATGCTTTACACATACAAAGGCTAAGACAGTACCTATGAAATATTCAACCTTCCACTTCCCAAATATTGCAAACAGTTTTGGGACCTAATTTAAAATAATACCTCAGTCTTAACATTTATATCTGCTCTTATGACATCTGAAATAAAAGATACAGAAAACTTTAATTTCACCAATTTTTTTATGGAATCACAGCTGATCCTTAAATGTCAACATGAAATAGCTTTTGGAGTAAAAGAAAATGAGATATACTCTCTAATAAAGAGTTAACAAAAGATGTCAAATAGCCAAAATTTATTTACAAAATTCTATAAAATCAATGAGGACAAGATAATGTGTGCTATCGTTTTTTCGTGCAATATTTAAATTTATTTTACACAAATGCGGATGGTTTATACAAAGGATTTCAAAGAGTTGGATGAAGGAATGAGTGAATGGTGAACAACAATTTCCCTTTAAAAACAAAAATGTCCTACATATATATACTCGTATGATTTGCAGCGATAGAAGGGATGGTGGGCACATAAACTTCTTGTCCTGTGAGGTAAAAAAAAACGAAGATGAAACAAGTGAACAACAAAGAAAGGCACAATGAGAAAAACGTAAATGACGAGAAATCTTAATCTTCACTTTCTGATGAGAAATAAAGATTTGTGTTGGAATCTTCTGCTTCATCTTCCTTGTCTGACTTTTTGGGAATATTATTAATTTTGTTCAATTCATCAACAATGTTTCCGAGCTGCAAGCTCTTTGGCTTGAATTCACTTTTTAATTCTGCAAGTTTCTGAAAAAAAAAAAAAAAAAAAAAAATTGTTATTCTTTGTAAAAATTCAATATTTTAAGTCTTAACTGGTGATTTTTTTTTTTTTTTAATTAAAAATTAATCTAAATTATTTCCTGAGCAAAAAGTAATTTTTCACATATTTAAAATAATTCTTAAATGAGTAAAGCAAGCACATATTCATTTTTTTTTTTAATTACCCTCCCCCCAGCAAGGCAATAAATCTACTAAGCCAAGTGATTACTGAGTGAAAGAATTAGAAAAAAATATACATTATTAAAAAGAGAGAACAATAAAAAAACAGGAATTAAGAAGACAGGATAGAATGATTGACATTGATCTTCAAAAATTTAAATGCAAAGTTGACTGGAAAGTCAAAAGAGAGTTCTACAAGTGAGAGAGAAGAAATTGCTAGCATAGAGCTTATGGTTACATCTACTTATTTCAACTGTAAAATTAATTAAACATAAAAAAACAACAACTCAAATACATTAACCAAATTCCTAAGAAATTGGAAGTAAAAAATGAATATAAACTATAAGAAACACTTGATAGAATTAACTACTTTGAGAAATAAGATTTAGGAACTGAATACTTCAAGGTGTTAGTATTACAATTATACTGAGTTTGAATTATATTATTGTTATAAGAAAACTTCATTAAATCTATTCTTTCATTACATACTTGCAATGAGAAGCAACAGTTTCATGATTGGTAAATTCTATTTATCAAGCAGCAAATTTAAACTCCAATATTTTGCTTGAACTGGAATATGATTAAACCTGATGCATTATTTTATGTTGTCTTTTGCAGCCAATGATGGTGACATGCTTGTGTAAGGGTGGATAGAGCCACAAAGAGACTTGATAACTAACAGTTAAATGTAAAAAAAAACAAAAAAAAGTCTGGTTCTAATGATTGCATTTAATGATTACTAGAATTAAATGTAGAAAAAGAATTAAGTTAGTTTGTTTCCAGAAATTAGAGGAATTGAGGTTCTTTAGAAATCAAACTTAAATATTAACTTTTAGATTCCTTAGTATAACTGGGTAGAGATCTGTCACCACTTGCTACATTCACCAAGTAGAGTGAAAATGATGACACTAAAAAAAAGGTTTTAGTCTTATTTCCTTCTAGTATCTGTCAAAATAGTTTGAAACTACAATTGTAAAACAAAAACAATTTAGATCTTTTCAAGCATCTTTTGTCCATAAAATTTAAAGTTCCATTTGTCACAGTGAATTTAAAACATGAAAAGAGTCTTTTTAGTTTTTTGGATACAAAACATTCTGCTTAAAAATATGCTGTTTTTTGGGTTTTTTTTTTTAAATTCAGCTGAGACAATTTTGAAGTGTTTGTTTTATACAGTAAAGATCAGATATTTAAGACTTCAATTAGTAGATCAAATATTAAATATAATTTTTGGGGACAATGAGAGGAAAAAAGCAAATTGTGATTCAAGTTGACAATATGACAATACATGTCCAATATACACAGAATGTCATCAATAACTTAAGCCCTCATCTAAAATGATTAATGGGTCTCCTGTGGACAAAACTAGCTTAAAAAATGTAAAACTCTTAAAAAAAATTAAAAAAAAAAGTAACATTTTTCTATCTGACTACTATGATTTTGAAAGAGAGTGACAATAATAAAAATAAGAACCTTAGGCATTTTGAGGCGCCCAGCTCCTTTTTTCTGTTGCTTCTTAAACTCTTTCACACAGCGATCAGCATTGTCCCTGAAAATAAGAGTAAAATTTTTCAGTGATGGAAAAAACAAAAACAAGTGTTTATCAGCTTTTCAAAAAGTAGTGACAGAATGCAACAGATCACCAATCAGAGAGAGACAGAGAGAGGAAATTGTCAACTACCTTGACATCTTTTCATTGGTCCTCATTCAAGGGTAGATATCTTCTGGACAAAACTAAATCCAGAATTCAAAAGACAAATATTGTGTGTGTGTGTGTGTGTGTGTTTTTTTTTACAAATGTTTGTGAAGTTAATTACACACACGAGATTATGCACGTATAAATAATCTTTTAAAATAAACTTACCAGTCAATTTTAATATCTCCATCTGAGAAACTCGATGCAGGTGTCTGTCGTTCAGAGACTGGAGTCAGGAAAAATTTGGACATAGGAGTGTGGAAATTTTGATCTGATACGCTTGGTGTTTTTACACTAAGGTCAGCAAATATGTCGTCCAAGTGACAATCTTCGTTCAAACGGATTTTCTAAAAAATTCAAATGTTAATAAAATGGGCAATTGTCAAAAACAAAAAAATTCACATTGATTTATTTATAATTTACAAATGGATGGCAGAAAACATTTTTTGGTACTACTTGAAAAAACTGGTCCACTTGTAGAAAATGGTCAAAAATTCTTTGAGGCATAATTTTTGTAGATGAGAATTTGTTAGACTTCCCTGAAGCCACATTTGTCAGGATCAAAAAACATTGATTTTGTATTGATTTAGAAGTGGGGGGGGGTCTGTTTATCTTAGCAAATTTCAAAATTGATCCCTGACTTTTATTATCTGCATTGATAGCTGCATTTTTTTTTTTTTTCAAATTTTAAAAATTTAAAAATTTGTCATTTTTCTGTTAATCATAAATGTTGCACTACTTTAAAAATGACATCTGTTCTTTAATAACAAAAAAATCTTTTTGTGAAAAAGAAAATCTTTGCCAAAAAATTGCTTGTTTCAAATATTTTCTTAAAATAAAACATGTAAAAATGTGTACACCACAGGCAAAAAGTTTGGAGGGAAAACTGTATTTCTTTATAAAAAAAAAAACAACTTTTAAATGAGATTTTTTTTGTACAAAAGTTAAAATTTCAGATAACTACAGTGTATTTGCTTTTATTTTTCAATCTTTCTTCAGGTTTCCTTTTACTAACAAAAAGTTAAAGTTTGTATTTGTCCACAATACATTTTGCTAAATTATGAATATTTTGTCTGAGAAACATCATATTTTGTTTTCACCACTAACTTCTCAGTAGATTTTTGAGATTATCAAAATTTTCATCTAAGGTAAATGTTAATACAAGTTCTAAATGTTAACTCAACACTGACTAATGTTATAAACAAAGCATATGCAATTGGCACTGTTTAAAGAAAAAAAAAAAAGATTGTGCCACTAGAATAATATTTTCATAGTTATATTTTTATCTTTATTCTTTAATTTTGAATTTGCAAAAAATGGCAAAATCAAACTAGCTAAACATTGAAGTGAGGGGGACAAATTGAAATTTTATTCAAAGAAGGCTAGTCTCAAAGACAAATTAAAAGATGATAAAGATTTCCAGTCACAAGGTGCAATGCAACACCTCTCACCGCTGCCTACACCCAGTGGTGTAACCATGTTTAGTGGTCCAGTCCTCATGGTCTTATGATAACAATTTAACCAAGAGCTAACTCTGTGCTGATCAATGCCTACATCAGTCCAACCTGGTTGTTGGTTGCTGGCCACTTCAATCTATATCATCTCTGCCCACGTTGTGTTCTTGATCTCAGAGCAGTGGGAGATTGAATGTTGTTGTAATGACAGCAGATGGTGATATTGCACCCACTATGGCTTGAACAGCCATAGTGGGTGCAATATCACAACAAAAAATAAAACAAAAGATTCATGGGTTTAATTTTCAATTGGTTTATAAAGCTCTTGGTACAACAAAAAATTAATCCTTCCCACATCAATCTCTATAGTGACACTCAGCCTTATTTAAACTTCTGGCAGTAGCTGGGTTCAAAGTCTTGGAATCAGGAATTCTAGTGGCAGCTGACATAGAGGCACTTGATGTGGTTTCTCAGCCCAAGTCTCTGAGCTCCCCAAAGTCATCTGCTTATATGCACTTTGGCCCAAACAGGTTACCATTATTATTATAATAAAAGAATCATCTACTAATATTATTTAGTTAAAAAGAAAACAATTATTATGAACTTAGTTAATCATGAGGTACTTTTTTTTTTTTACCTTTGTATTTCCAAGGAAATTTTCCGATTCAAAAAGATCATCTTCATAACTGTCACTAACATCATAGATGTGAAGATTTTTCCGTTTTATAATATTTGGAACTTCTAAAAGTAATAAAAAAAACAGAAATTTCAAATTTCATAAATTGTAAGTTTCAAATTCAACATCTCGTATATGGGTAATTTTATTTTTAATCAAGACAAAATTGATCAAACACATTGGTTAGAAAAGACGGAATTTATTATTAGTAGACATTTAAGATGAAAACTCATTGTTTGCTTGATTTATTCAGGCTAATGTTTAAGTCTTTTGTGAACTATAGATTTCATATACATTTCTGATAATTTAGCACCTTTTTTTTTCCAGTTCAAATAAAATTATAAGAAAATGCTTGAAATTTCTATCAATCTTCTATAACAAACACTTAAGCCAAAAGTGATTTATTTTGCGAGATTTTTACTTCATTCTGATTATATTTAAAGCTTCAGAAAAAATACAAGCATCAGCAATGTTGTAAAGAGGCGAGGTTTCCAAACTTTGATCCGAGGGTCACATTGACCCATCACAAGGCTTCATCTGACCCTGAAGAATAGTTTACTTTTCTCATCTGCAGTTAAGTGATTATGCTATCTGAATTTCTGGGATTAGGAATTATCATTATTTACATTTGGACTCATGTCTCTGTCCTTTGCTATCATAACATCTTAGCTGTTGTGTCCTTAAGCTGCCTTCAGGTGTCAGGGAATTTTAAACTAGACCCTTTAATTTATAGTGGTAGATTCTTTATATACCACTGTTCATGTCTAAATATAGGAATTAAGTGTTCAATCCCTGGGTAGAGTAGTACAGACTACGCCTAAGAAAAAACCTCAATGATGGTGAAATATACCAAACTATAAACCATATTTAATTAATCTTAATTGGTTTAGTAAAAATGATTAATCTGATAAAATCACAAGTGTACAAAAAAAAATAAATAAATCAATGAAGTATTTGAATTTTATGTACTAACAGTAACCAAAATAGCAATTAATCTTTCAAGTTAAAAATGATTTGGTGTTAATCAGTTAATGCTCCTCCAATTACAGGGCTAAATTCTTTACTTCAAACCTCATTTTCACTTACAATTTAAAATCAGTGATTGACAAAGATGTCAAGTTTTATTTTGACAAATGTTATACTGACTGTAAGTCATCTCATAAGAGGCACTTTTGCCAAGCATTTCATTTTCCTGACAAAATAGATTTAAAAGATCATAAAATTACTTTCCCACCTGAACATTTTTAGAGGACTAATGGTATCTGTAATTACAAATTTTCTGAAAGATATTTCCACCATTTTTTTTTGTTTTTTTTTAAATAAAGAGTGTTTTAATAATAAAACTAAATAATTTTACAGGTGGATTCGTTTCGCTTCAAAAGTCATGATCTGGATGGAACCTAACATGATCGACAATCATGCGTGTAGGGTCTGCATGGATTTTCCTGATATTTTCCCAACAGGCAAAGCAAAAAACATTATTATTGCTCTAGTTTTGTGCAGTTTAATGGCTGACTCATTAATGAGGAAACAAATTATATGTACTTCATTTGAGCTGTATACAGGTTGGGAAAGTTTGAGAAATTTCTGATTTGGTAAATGGCTAAGAATTTCATCTGACCTCATTCCTACATAGAATCTTGGAGTCATCATCAATTAGTATGTTGAAAATGTCCTTTAAGCAAAAAGAGCAGCATCTGATGTTAGGACTGGTAAAATTGAAGAGAATTTCAACAGACAATAAGAAATGTTAAGAAAAGCTTAAAATCAGGCCGAATTTGGTGACTGCTGGTATAATGAAAATATTGATTTGGTGTTGTTTGCAAAAAAAACAAAGAACATGCCCTCAACTAACAATGAATTTCTGAAATGATCTTCATGTCAGTCTGAAATCTGTTTTGTATAATTTATAAATAAACCAAATGGCTTCATTTTTCTTACAATCAGAGCTGCAGTTCTCAAACAATTTAGAGTCAAACAGATTGATTAGAAACACAAAATTTTAAAAAAGAAAAAAATAAATGGAAGAAACCTTTTTTTTCATCTTTCTTCTTTAAATCTTTCCAGTCGAGTGATGACAGATCACAGCTGCAGTAATAATTGGTACATTCTTCAGCGCTTCGACCAACTTTACGTGCAACCTTTTTCCAAAAATTACGATCAGTTTTTGGCACAGTGGACATGGCTCTGAGGAAAGTGAGGAAGGGAGAAAACTTTATAAACAGAATTTTCATGAAAAGAGAGGAAGATGATTTAAAATAAAATGAACCTAAGTAGTTTTCAAATATTAATGAAGAAAGATTTCCAACATAGATCATTCAAGGTAAAGTCAATCAATTCAAAACATGATGTAAATGTAATTTTTGTGACAAAATTTCATAATTTTGAAGGATTAACTATCACTAACCCAATTGTCTTCAATAAGATACCAACTCCTTCTCAAGTTTTCAAACACTAGATTTATTTTGCAACATGCTGATGTGTGCTGAAATCCTCACAGTATTTAGTATTGTTGAAGTCATCACTAACATTTTTTATCAAGATTTACAAACCACATTTTGGTCAATTCTGTAAACCAATTGATTAAATTTGAATAAGTTGGTTTGTTTGAAAAATACTCTGAGAAAAACCCTACTTCATGGTTTAATAATTTCTTTAATTTAATTTTATAGGATTTCATGGTAAACAATTTTTTTAATTTGGTTTCGATCAGTCAATGTATATGTATATTTTAGACAGTGTGATGGATGGACATACTAACAGAAAACACAGAATTTTATATATATATATATATATATATATATATATATATATGTAATTTATCTCTTTTTTTTTGCCTGTTTTCGAATTTCAGTACAAATTTAATGTAATTTACCTTTTTATTTTTGCTTTTGTTCATACCAATTTTCTATGAAATTTTTTCTTTTTTCGTTTTTATTTATTCATTTATATTAATTGAAGTGAATTTATTCTTCATGGTTTTCAAAAAGTTTGAATTAGTTCTTTGAATTTTTTTTTCTCTTCACTGACTCATGCAAAAAAACGAGCAACATGAGTTTCCAGACTCACAGATGAGGAACTCTCTTCATTCAAGAAGTGCATATTGGCACTTTAACTAAGTTAAAACTTTACATCCCAGTTTCAACACCGAGTGCCTTGCACGTTGTTCATGGACTTCTCGTAGGCTGCCTGTTTGTCTTCTTGTGTTTTTTGTTTTTTTTAGTTTTGTTTTTTTTTGTGTGTGTGTGTGAGTATGTAATAAGTGTAGACAGGCTTACTACTATTTCAGGCTTTCTCTTTTTCATTACCCAACATGACAACAAATGATCAAAAAAGTAAACCTAAACCAGCCCTAAAAAAAAAATCCTCTAAACTCTTAACATTTCCTTTTCTAACATCCATGGCATCTGAACCAACTTCTGTAAGGTGGAATCATTCCTCATTGAGAAGTCTCTCTGCGAGACCAACCTTAACTTGTTTATCCCCTCTTCTGACTTCTCGATCCATAGTTACTATCCTCTCCTTAGAAAAGACTCTCAAAACCCACATGCATGGCCTGGCAGTTTATATCAAGGACTATCTTCCATTGATAGGGAGCTCTCTCTCTCTCTCTCTCTCTCTCTAGAGAGAGAGAGAGAGAGAGAGAGTGTACTCAATAGCATTTCTGACAATATAGACAAGGCTATCTCTCTTCATCCATTTGTACATATATTCGTGTTCGGTGACTTTAATGCCTATCATACCATGTCGCTTAAAAACTCTATAACTGACCTTGCTGGCATACAAACCCTTAACTTTTCAATTACTCAATCCCTCACACAAACTGTTGACTTTCCTACATGTTTCCCTAATAACCAGGACAGTAAGGCTTTCCTTCTCAATCTCACCTCTATCCCTGAGTCTTGAAGTGCCACACAGCTCTGCCCTCTTGGCAACTCTGATCAAGCTGTAGTGTCTATTAGCATCTTCTTCTACTCCTCCCCCAGCAAAGAACATCTTTCTGTTATCAATGAGCAGACTGAGACTCGTTCCATAATTTCCTTTGAGATGTGTCCTGGAATGTGGTCTTTAATCTCCCCACTCAAAAATGTGCTTCCAATGTCTCCTCCTGGGTAAAAGCTAGAATCAAGGTTTTCATCCCTGCAAGAAAATATACAGTTAAATCATGCTAACCCCCTTGGTTCTCAACCGTTTGCTCAGCTGCTATTGCCCATAGGAATCACTTCTTCTGTCTGTACTGTAGCAACATGTCAGATTGCAACAAACATCTCTTTGTCTCTGCCTATAATGGGTGCAAGCGTGTCCTCAATGAAGCAAGGTCACTATTTGCTGAAAGAATGAAATGACGTATTGCATCTCACAAATTTGGTTCCAAAGATTATTGGCGACTCTGCAAGAGCATATTAAACAACAGAAAATCTGTAATACCTCCTTTATTCAATCAATTTGAAGTCCTGACTTCCTCAGCTAATAAAACTGAATGCTTTGCTCAGAAATTCTCACCCAACTCAATGCTTGACTCATCCGGTTTACCCACACCTGATTTTCCCCCCTTAGGACTGAGGCTCTATTGAGCGAGTTGCCCATAACTCCATCGATGGTATTGGGCATCATTTCTAAATTAGACTCCCATAAGTCTAGCAGTGGAAGTCCTCATCTGTTGTACCTGTCTTTAAGAACTCTGGAAAACCCTTCTGACCCATCTAACTACCATCCTATCAGTCTCCTACCACTCTTCAGCAAAGTCTTTGAGGCTTTAATCAATGCCAAAGTGGTTAAGCTCCTTACATTCCATCATCTGCTCTCTGACAAAAGCAATATGGTTTCCGCTTTGCCTGATTTACCACTGAAATGCTCTAGATATCTTTAAAGCGTTTGATAGGGTTTGACATGCCAGCCTTCTTTGTAAGCTTCAGGGATATGGAATTTCAGGACAGTTATTTGACAATACAATCATTCCTGTCAAACCATCTAATTAAGGTTATCCTTAATGGATTCTCCCCAAGTTCCTTTTTCACAAATGCAGGTGTTCCCCAAGGCTCTATAAACTGGGCCCAACACTGTTTCTGGTCTTCATTAATGATCTTCCTGATGTCATCAGTTCCCAAGGAGGTATCTATGCAGATGACACCACTATTTACTCCTGCCTCAATAGCAAATCTGGTATTACTGACAAAACTAACCTGGCCATTGGTCTCGAAAAGGACCTCCAATCTGTGGTTGACTGGGCCAAGAAATGTCTGGTAAATTTTAATGCCTCAAAAACAAAACTGCTCTCTACACACCACAGGGAACCATCCCTGCCTCCCATTAGAATGTCTGATGCTCAACTCCACAAGAGCACCTCTCTGCAACTGCTTGGTCTCACACTGCTGACCTGAGATGGAACAAATACATTGAATCAATAGCTTCATCTACTGCAAGGAGTTGGTTCTCTGTGTCTTGCCAGAAAGTTTTTCTTGCCAGAGTCTATCCTTCAAATCTATAAATCAACCATTCACCCTTGCATGGAATACTGCTGCCATATATGGTCTGGAGCCCCCTCTGTTCGTTTTAAGGTCCTCGACAAAATGTGATTGGTCCTGATCTGGCATCACTTTCTCACAGACGTGCTGTTGCTTCCCTCTGTCTTTTCTACAAATTCTTTCACAGTTCTGGCAAGCTACTTTCACTGGTTCACAAACTGCATGAATTTAAGCGTTCTTCTAGGTTGGCATCTCAGTCCCACCCTTTCACTGTCAAAATTGTTAAATGTAGCCATCTCTTCTACTCCAATAGCTTCATGTCTCACTCTTCCTGTCTGCAGAACTCCCTTCCTCTTACTTGCTTCCCTGATAGCTATAATCTTCAATTATTCAAATGCAATGTCAATCAACATCTTCAGATGCCTTGATCTAATTCTCTGACCTTCTCTTCATCCTTTCCTCTTTCACACCTCTTTACTCTTGCTCCCACTCTCTGTAACCCCTTGTGTGCTAGTGGAACTCCCATCTTGCTTGGGGTGAAATGCTTAGAGAAAAAAAAATTATATATATATATATATATATATTGTTGTTTTGGTAGGACTGGTAACAGAATTAATAAGTGATGTAAATTTAAAAACAAAATCAATCCATTCCTAATTGATTTCCTTAATTTTCTATGGAAAATTATAAATTCTTTTCCAAACTGTCCATGAAGAAGACAATTATTTTTTTTTTCACTTGCACTTCATTAAAATTTCACTTTCAGTTAACGAATTTTTTTTGGTTACTGGGCAGATTTACAAGGTATTTTCCAAGTACTTTGCTAGTAGATGAGAAGTACTAATCTAAGCTAATCACCTGTAATTGGGCAGAAACTACTAATTTAACAATTTCCAATGATGCCAGTTTTAGTAATGCTAGCAATATTAAAAGGATTAATCAATTACCCTATATTATTTGTCAATAACATTGATTATTTTCTAGCATCTAAGTTTTAATGAACACTCTACTACAAACTAAGCTGATTTTAGTTAATGATCTTGGAAAAAAAGATAAAGAGAGAGGAAGAGAGAGAGAAAGGCAAAAAGTACTTACGTCAATAATTTCTTCACTTCTTCGTTTGTCCAATCTTTGATCATCTTCCTTCCTGATTCTTTGTCTTTCTCCTCTTTGGCAACCTTCTTTGAAGGTCTGACAACATGAGTTTCTCTCTGAGCATCATGTGATTGTTTTTTGTTGACAGATGGCTTCTGGGACTTTTGCTTGCGAGACCCTTGCGTTTTAGTTTGTGACACTTTCTGTCGTTTAGGTTTGTCCACCTTGCCTGACTTTGCAGGTGAAGATTTTTTAGCCCGGGAAGTCTTTTTGCCCAAATCAGAAACCTTTTTATTGTCTGCATTGGCTGGGATAACATTTATCGTATTTGATAAGGGATGAGGGCTGTAACATTCATCATCATTCTTTTTGGCAGTTGGTTGTTTTCGAGATGTCTTATATTTAGGAATGATTTTGGTACTTTTCTGGTTTTCATTAGGAGAAAGAGCAGACTTTGGAGATTGCGCTGATTTACCTTTAAGATGGGACGCAAGAGATCTTGTCATGTAGTGTGATCTGACTGGATTCTTTGGAGCGATTACTTTTTTAACCAACTCCTCTTTTACTTGCTTCTTGTTCTTCACTGATGTTTTCTTTGTGACATTTGAAACAGGTAACGGACAAGGATCCATTTCAGGGAAGTCCATTCTGGGATTGCTTGAAAAAATGTTAAACAGATAGTCCTGATCATTTCCTTCCTTTTTCAAAACAGACAGAGTTTCACGATTTTCCTTGATTACACTCAGCTGAAAAGAAAAATAAAGTCTAAATATGAATAATCTAGCACTTCATTAATCCGAGTTTTTTTTTAAAAAAAACTAAATGCTCACCTAATACAAAGCTCGAGAGCCACTCAAGGTAAATGATTACTGAATGAGGTTCTTGTATGAACATAAGAGGAGAAAGTGCAGTCTATGAGGATATGTAGGATAGATAACTTGAAGAGGTTAAGATTATAGTGATCAGGGAAGCATCCTCTCATGAGCTTGTGTTACAAAGTATTGGTTCTTATGAAGTTGATGTTTGAGTGGAACTTCCTGCTTACCAAAAGAATATGAAGGGAATAGAAGGTGATTCAACCCTCCCCAGTTTTTTAAACAGTAGAGGCTTATCCCTTGTTTCCTGTTTGGGTTTCTGGTTCCTTCTAAAGTCTACTTCAGCCCTATACTCCCAATGCTTGTTTTTTCCTATGGTAATATATATCCACACACTAATCCTCTACCTTGAGTGGCTCTTGGGCATTGTATTAGGTGAATATTAGTAAAAAATAGCTCATCTGAACATTTGCCATAGAAATAGCAAAAGCATAAAAAGAGGTTTGCAACATTTTGCCTATGGAAAAGGGGTTTTAGGATTGAACATAATTCATTGCCCACAAGTTAACTTCAAAATAAATATATACATATGCAATCATTGAAAATTTGATCAAGTACATTACATACAAAAATTTTATATTATTATATCTTAAAAAACAAAAAAAAAACAACAACAACAAAAAACTATCATATTTGAGGATTTAAGCTCTCAAAGTTCCATTTATAGAAGCAACTAGCTATCATCAGATGTATGTATTTCACCAGAGACATTTTGAGGATAGATAACTTTAATACGACAGCATTGTAACAGGTTTCATTTAGAGAACTGGAAAAGGCCTACATTTGATAAATGATTTTGGGTTGAATTTTGCAAATGAGGCAATCTTGAAGGCAGTTCTTTTTTCTTTTTTAATTTTCTTGTTCATATTAGGGTAAAAACACAAAAAATAAATCAAGAATTTCTTTCTAAAACCAGAAAAGCAACCAATATACATGGTTACATTTAATAAAAATCTGATTAAATTTATGATGGAAAAATAAAAAAAATATCAATAGTGAAGTGACATTATCAGTGGGAAAAGAAATTTAGATTTAAATTATCAGGCTTTCTTTTTATTTATATGCATCTTATGTAAAGTAGGGCTCATTCTTATTACTTGTAATATTCAAGAAATTTTATTTTTTAAGCTAAGTTTAATATATAAATGACAATTTTAATTAAGACAATTCCATTAATAGCATTTTACAGAATACATCAATCTCTAAAAGAAATGACTGCATTGCACAGTGGAGTAAAAAAAAAAAAATGGACTTGTAACAATGGCTATCATTGCTAGTATTTAATTAAGCATAGAAAATTCAATTTTTCTCTTCTATTATGCACAAAAAAGAATCTTTCATAAAATGCTTGCTTTTTCTTTAAGTAATCTCAATAAAATTAAATTGATTAAACAAAAATTGCATATCTTATTTATGAACAAAACTTAAAATTATGATTTACTATTTTTTCAGAACATACTATTAAAAATATCTACATTACTTCCCCTTTACTTTCGAGCAGTGATCTAAATACCAAAGTAGTTACCACTTTTAGTACAGAAAATGGTTTTATTCCATTAAGCAATCAACAAAACAATCACATATTTATAAATATCACAAAAAACTAGACTGGAAATGAATGACAAAACATTGTTCATTTTAAAGCTTAATATGAAAATTACTTTTCTCCATTAAGCTAAAATTGTTAAATTGGGCAACATATAAGACACATACAGGTAGATACAAATGATAAAATTTCATTTGATATCAAAGTTTTACAAAATATTTATATAAACACACACACAAACACAACCAACTTTATATATTTGATTAATTTTCAAGGTTTCAAGCAGACACACTCAAATTTTGAGCTTAATATATTAGATGACCACAAGCACAATAGTTATGAATAAATTTTGCTACAAGACATTCCCCTTCAATGACCAACCTAATGTATATTCTGTTTGTTATCTACCTAAAAACTAAATTCTATAAAACATGTCATACTGAGAGACCATTTTATATTGATCAGGCCAAATGGAGAACAAGGATAAAGAAACGCCACCAAGCAAAAGAACATGTTCTTCTGAAGACGCAAATGTATTACAAAAACGTCTCTGCTGATAATGTGTAGGATGGTTACATAAAACCAAAAAAGACATCATTCTTAATAATTCTTGTGCATGAAATACATGTGCCAGTGCCAATTAAATCATTTTCTTCACCCCCTCACCACCTCACTTTAGCACAGTGTTTATTTTGCATGAAATGCTTATTATTTTGTAAAAGAATTTCCTCTTCAGCACGATTATTTTGTCCTTGGAATCAGAAATTCCCACTAACATTACTAATCCAGACAGCACTTGTATTTCAGGCAAAAGAACAAAACCAGATAAATTTCCAAGAATCATAATTTAAGTGGATAAATGACTTCAAAGAAAAAAAATTTTTTGGCTTGTCAAAGTAGAAAAGTTCTTATAAATAACATCTTCAAATTTTGGATTCAGAAATAAGTGGCACTGGCGAGAGTTATGATTTTCCAAGATAATTATGACAAAGTGCTGAAAAGTTCCAGTAAGACCAAGAAGGCATTTTTCCATTCTGATGTTTAGTCAGATTTTGGGGAGTAGATTGGGCAAAGAAATCTTTCAACACCTCTTGAACATTATAAGCCAATTTGGAAGACTATTTTGACATGTTTTGCTGAGGAGTTGGTGCCTTGTCAAAATAGAATTTTTCCATATTATCTCATATATTTACCATTCCACCCGATTCTCATCAAAACTTTACTCACATATATATATATATATATATATATAACATTTGTGTAATAGTTTTTCTTTTATGCAGGTTTGATAGAAAAACAATTAAATTCTTTGTTTAAGATTTTTTTCTTTAATTTCTCTATAATTTAGAAACAAACAATGGATATTTCAGAATTAAAAAAAATGACACCATACTGATGTGTGGAGATGAGATACTTGGACAAAACTTGATGCAACACTGACATGACCTCTAAGGTATTCACAATTTTATTTCACACCAGTGTTTGTATGTGTGTGTGTGTGTGTGTATATATTATATATATATATATATATATATATATTTGCAAATTAGGAATAAGTTTTTCTTATTTCAACATTTCCAGTAGTTAATATATAATAAATAATTTAAGAATTTACTTTCCCCATTTCAAGTAGAAGTTTTCTAATTAGATTCAATCAAGATGAATAATCTGAAAATTCTCTAAAGTGCATGAGATTAATAACCAATTTTCTTCCATTTTCATGCCACTTCATGTAATTAACTCCGACCTTTTGATTTTCAGGCAAGTTATCTTCCTCTGATCCTGCCGTTGCCTCCTCATCATTCTCATCATCCTCCTGTTGTTTATCATCATCATCTTCATCATCCTCCTCCTCACCTTCCACCTCCTCTATATGTTCTCTTTCTGCAAAAAACAAAAAATCAAAAACTCAGGTGTGAAATCAAGAATTTTACAGCATACATTGTTAATTTTGTTTAAATTATAATAAACAATACTTTTTTTTAATTTTCAAATCTATTTGATGTCACCTCCAATAATCAAAGCATGACTCTTCAGAAATTCTATTTATCAGAACCTTATCCTAATTATCAATTTATTTGAAGAAATTAAAAGTCTGCATTATTAATTTCCAGGATGAGGAATTATTATTTACATGCAAAGTATTTATTGTCCTCCTCTTTATTTATTAACCAACACTTTAATCCAGTGTTTCTCAATCAGTGAGCCCAGGTACACAAATCCACCCTATAAAGTTGCCAGATGCACCCCAATTTAACAGAAGAATAATTTATGAATTGTTTTTATATTTTAAAAAATCTTTAGAGATGGCTTCCATGTCAAAGTCATATCTTTGTCATTTGATATTTTAAACTGGATGCTAAATTCCTTAATCTTTAAGACGTAGTGGATAATCCTTTTTTTTGGATAATTCATCTTCTTGAATTATGTTTTACAGATAGATCTAATGTTGTTTTATGGAGACTGCCATCAACTCATCAAACACATGAACACAGCTACTGCTGGTTTTAAAAATAATTCCTGCAATATTTTAAAATTAAAGTAAATGATATTTGTTTCAAATCAGATTAATTATACTTCAAATCAGCTAACATTCCTAAAATAAAGTTTCAGAAAGTGTATTTTATTTTTGCAATATTTTTACAACCTAGAACTAACTTGTGTTTATACGTCTTAAGTAGACAACTTTGATGATGTTACTGAAAAAAAAATGAAAATCGATTCCAGTCAATATAATTTCTGTTTGAAATACAAGAGAGTATTTTGCTTACTGGAAATGGTAAATTTAATCCTTTAGCTTTCAATTATAGCGAAAATAAAAGCTTCAAGGAAGCTTTTTCATTTTCTTAAATTAAAATGTATTGCAATTTTTGAGGAGGTACCTCATATAAGAAAACAATTCATATTTTTATATATCAAGAACAGTATTGGGGAAAAATGTATGGCAAAGTGGAAAAAGTTTACTTGTGATGCATTTTGTCCTTTAGGATTTCATTGGATTAAATATGTTGATTCCTACCAACATAACAAATTTAGTCTGATGAAGTCCTGGAGGAGGAAACATGTCACAAGTAAACATTTTACACATTGTCATACTTTTCTCCCCCCCATATATATATATATATTTATTAATGCATGTTTCATTAAATAATATAGACAAGTCTTGTCTATTTGTTTTAAGTAAGTTCCTTTCATATTGTCTGATAAGCTTAATAACATTATCATTGGAAGACAAAAGGAAATCCCCATATTGATACATGTTTAAATCCAATCTAAGCTTTCACCTTACATAAGCCATTATCAAAGATGACAATTACTTTTCAATATATCAACCTACACACGGACGAAACAATAATGATAGTCTGTTTTTGTTGCATGAAAAATTTCAAAACAACGACTAACTCGTGTAAAACAACATGCTTGACCACATACACAATTCCGGAAAATCCTTGTTGAAAACACAACTTAAACATGAAAACGAAAACAATAAATTCTTGAAGCTATATACATAAAACAGTTGAAACCTAACCTGAACAAAATAAACTACGAAATCTCCACAAATATTCTTAAATGCCTATAATTGATAACAGAAACCATTGGTTTATACCAATGGCTTCCCATACTTAATACTTCTTGTTTTCACTCTCGTGTGGTCATGTGTGACGTCACGAGCTATGACACAATTTTCGCTTCCGCATCTCGTATACACAAGTTAGTTGTTGCTTTGAAATTAAGGATTGAACTCACCATCAATTATTAGTGATTCCAATTTGCTAACCACTGCACTGTAAATGCCCTAAAATAATTATGCATTCCATTATTTATAAAAAAAGGATTCACAAACACAAAATTTCTAGATCTCTTTTATAAATAGAGAAAAAAAAACTTACTGATTTTTTGATTCCGTAGTTCTTTCTTTTCTGTTGCTATTCTGTAAATAGACAGGAAGAAAAACATTTATCCCTTGAATCAAACACAAAACAGCTTTGAATTTATTTCACACATAAATTCTGCTTTAAACTGCACTTATGCCTGTCCAACAACCTTATTCACTAACCCTCTACCTTGAATGGCTCTTTGGCCTTATAAGAAAAAAAAAAGCAGACTACCCCAAAACCCAAAGTTGGAATTGGATAGAGCAAAAATCTGGAAACTACTTTTCATGTAAGTTCACCAAGAAGTTCTTATTGTTTTTAAATTTCTTCTCAAATTAATTATTTAATATTTAATTAACAAATGTACAAATATATAAATGGTAAATTTACATCCAGATTATTACATGTCACCTTTCTTGACAGATCTTCTTTTCTCACAATGTAGGATATTTAAAAACAGCAATAAAAACCGAAACAAAAGCATTTAAAAAACAAATGAGATTGGCTACTCTGTGCATCTAGACACATCAGACACCAAAAACTGTTAATAACTTTAGCATTCCCACTTCTTCAGCACATAATTATAGCTAATATTTACATTTATATCTCCACCAATGGCTCCCAAACTTTTTTCTCTGGGATGCATTTTCAGAGTTTAAATTTGTTTCCGCCTGACCAAATTTTATGTGATTTTTATCACATAAAATTTGGTTAGGTGCAAGCAAATAACATTTAAAAATGATAAACAGAGAGAGGGTTAAAGGGAGATAACCGCGGATTCAAAGTCAAAACATTATCATTGATGACTCTCTCCTCCAATTTGCAGAGCCTAGTTATTATTTTCTTGATATAATACAAAAATATCACAACGATAAAACCAGTCAGTAATTATTTATAACTATTTATCCTGGGACTCATCCATAATAATATTTGAAATTTTGAAATCATATTTATTTTTGGTATATGAATTTTTTGAAACTGTTTCTAAATCTTTGATTGTCTTTCAATCATTCCGCCTCACCTGCTATCCTCTTCCACTGCACCTATGAGGCACACCACACTCTTTGGGAATCACTGCCTTACACATATAGAATTCTATTAATAAGACCATTACTTTAGTTCGAGGTTTAGAGGATGAAATGCATTACACAGAACATTTCCAATTTGTCATTTAATTGTTTAACATTGTTCTGATATATAGAAATTTATGTATCATATTTTCCCATGGACAGATATTTGCGTTAAAGATAGAAAATGAAACTGTATGATGACTTCATGACACTATACTATATTGCCTTGGATGATATCAAGTGATAGTTATAAGTATCAAATCAATACAAACAATGCTACATCCAATTTTGAGTATAAGAGTATCAATTTTGTCTACTGAGACACTAATTTGAAAATGTAATGGTCTATGTGACTGGTATATTTGACATATTCAGTTCTGTGATCAGTTAAACATGGAGTGAAAACTGACATCAGCAGTTTGACGGAGCAAAGTTATACTCACATGTGAAGCAATTCAAGCAACTAAATGGGAACAAGATCAAATACATCGCAATTCTTACCCCTTGTCAAGGTCAAGATGGTAAGTCTGCTTTGGCCATTTTATATAAGTAATGAAAATAAAGAATAAGAGTGGGCAACAGATGAAAATAAAGCCACTAACAATAAAAGTATCTCAGAATATTGCCTTCTATTTTACTATTTTTTGGTCCACAATATCAGGGCTGATGTTAGTGGTATTCCATTAACAAAAAGTGGGCAACAGATGAAAACAATAACAATAAGTATCTCAGAATATTGCCTTCTATTTTACTATTTTGGTCCACAATATCAGAGGCTGATGTTAGTGGTATTCCATTGGTAACAAAGAAGTGGGCAACAGATGAAAAATAAAGCCACTAACAATATCAAATGTTAGTGGTATCTCAGAATATTGCCTTCTATTTTACTATTTTGGTCCACAATATCAGAGGCTGATGTTAGTGGTATTCCATTGGTAACAAAGAAGTGGGCAACAGATGAAAATAAAGCCACTAACAATAAAAGTATCTCAGAATATTGCCTTCTATTTTACTATTTTTGGTCCACAATATCAGAGGCTGATGTTAGTGGTATTCCATTGGTAACAAAAGAAGTGGGCAACAGATGAAAATAAAGCCACTAACAATAAAAGTATCTCAGAATATTGCCTTCTATTTTACTATTTTGGTCCACAATATCAGAGGCTGATGTTAGTGGTATTCCATTGGTAACAAAGAAGTGGGCAACAGATGAAAATAAAGCCACTAACAATAAAAAAGTATCTCAGAATATTGCCTTCTATTTTACTATTTTGGTCCACAATATCAGAGGCTGATGTTAGTGGTATTCCATTGGTAACAAAAAAAGATGAAAATAAAAGCCACTAACAATAAAGATGAAAATTTTAAAGCAATATCAGAGGCTGATGTTAATTCCAATAACAAGAAAACAGATGAAAATCTCTAACAAATATTGCCTTCTATTTTACTATTTTGGTCCACAATATCAGAGGCTGATGTTAGTGGTATTCCATTGGTAACAAAGAAGTGGGCAACAGATGAAAATAAAGCCACTAACAATAAAAAAGTATCTCAGAATATTGCCTTCTATTTTTACTATTTTGGTCCACAATGGGCATCAGAGGCTGATGTTAGTGGTATTCCATTTTTGGTAACAAAGAATTGGGCAAAAAGATGAAAATAAAGCCACTAACAATAAAAGTATCTCAGAATATTGCCTTTCTATTTTACTATTTTGGTCCACAATATCAGAGGCTGATGTTAGTGGTATTCCATTGGTAACAAAGAAGTGGGCAACAGATGAAAATAAAGCCACTAACAATAAAAGTATCTCAGAATATTGCCTTCTATTTTACTATTTTGGTCCACAATATCAGAGGCTGATGTTAGTGGTATTCCATTGGTAACAAAGAAGTGGGCAACAGATGAAAATAAAGCCACTAACAATAAAAAGTATCTCAGAATATTGCCTTCTATTTTACTATTTTGGTCCACAATATCAGAGGCTGATGTTAGTGGTATTCCATTGGTAACAAAGAAGTGGGCAACAGATGAAAATAAAAGCCACTAACAATAAAAGTATCTCAGAATATTGCCTTCTATTTTACTATTTTGGTCCCACAATATCAGAAGGGGCTGATGTTAGTATTTATTCCATTGGTAACAAAGAAGTGGGCAACAGATGAAAATAAAGCCACTAACAATAAAAGTATCTCAGAATATTGCCTTCTATTTTACTATTTTGGTCCACAATATCAGAGGCTGTATTCCATTGTTAACAAAGAAGTGCAACAGATGAAAATTCCATTCAGAATATTGCCTTCATTAACATCAGAGGCTGAAAGTGGGGCAAAGATGCAAAAATAAAGCCACTAACAATAAAAAGTATCTCAGAATATTGCCTTCTATTTTACTATTTTTGGTCCACAATATCAGAGGCTGATGTTAGTGGTATTCCATTGGTAACAAAAGTGGGCAACAGATGAAAATAAAGCCACTAACAATAAAAGTATCTCAGAATATTGCCTTCTATTTTACTATTTTGGTCCACAATATCAGAGGCTGATGTTAGTGGTATTCCATTGGTAACAAAAAGTGGGCAACAGATGAAAATAAAGCCACTAACAATAAAAAGTATCTCAGAATATTGCCTTCTATTTTACTATTTTGGTCCACAATAGAGGCTGATGTTAGTGGTATTCCATTGGTAACAAAGAAGTAACAAAAACAGATGAAAATAAAGCCACTAACAATAAAAAGTATCTCAGAATATTGCCTTCTTTTTTACTATTTTGGTCCACAATATCAGAGGCTGATGTTAGTGGTATTCCATTGGTAACAAAGAAGTGGGCAACAGATGAAAATAAAGCCACTAACAATAAAAGTATCTCAGAATATTGCCTTCTATTTTACTATTTTGGTCCACAATATCAGAGGCTGATGTTAGTGGTATTCCATTGGTAACAAAGAAGTGGGCAACAGATGAAAATAAAGCCACTAACAATAAAAAGTATCTCAGAATATTGCCTTCTATTTTACTATTTTGGTCCATAATATCAGAGGCTGATGTTAGTGGTATTCCATTGGTAACAAAAAAGTGGGCAACAGATGAAAATAAAGCCACTAACAATAAAAGTATCTCAGAATATTGCCTTCTATTTTACTATTTTGGTCCACAATATCAGAGGCTGATGTTAGTGGTATTCCATTGGTAACAAAGAAGTGGGCAACAGATGAAAATAAAGCCACTAACAATAAAAGTATCTCAGAATATTGCCTTCTATTTTACTATTTTGGTCCACAATATCAGAGGCTGATGTTAGTGGTATTCCATTGGTAACAAAGAAGTGGGCAACAGATGAAAATAAAGCCACTAACAATAAAAGTATCTCAGAATATTGCCTTCTATTTTTACTATTTTGGTCCACAATATCAGAGGCTGATGTTAGTGGTATTCCATTTTGGTAACAAAGAAGTGGGCAACAGATGAAAATAAAGCCACTAACAATAAAAGTATCTCAGAATATTGCCTTCTATTTTTACTATTTTGGTCCACAATATCAGAGGCTGATGTTAGTGGTATTCCATTGGTAACAAAAGAAGGCAACAGATGAAAATAAAGCCACTAACAATAAAAGTATCTCAGAATATTGCCTTCTATTTTACTATTTTGGTCCACAATATCAGAGGCTGATGTTAGTGGTATTCCATTGGTAACAAAAGAAGTGGGCAACAGATGAAAATAAAAGCCACTAACAATAAAAAGTATCTCAGAATATTGCCTTCTATTTTACTATTTTGGTCCACAATATCAGAGGCTGATGTTAGTGGTATTCCATTGGTAACAAAGAAGTGGGGCAAACAGATGAAAATAAAGCCACTAACAATAAAAGTATCTCAGAATATTGCCTTCTATTTTACTATTTTGGTCCACAATATCAGAGGCTGATGTTAGTGGTATTCCATTAGTAACAAAAGAAGTGGGCAACAGATGAAAATAAAGCCAC